CCTACGTAGCATGGCGTTCATTTTGGTATCAAATTTTGTTGAATTTGATGAGGTTTTGGAACCTGAGCACCGACCTTCACGCCGGAGAAGACGATCGGAGCTCAGGCTCCGTCGTCTGGTTCAAACCTCCAGCAAACCTATGTGTTATGCTTTGACTTGTTGACTGAGTTGGATGAACGGCTTGGATTGCATCTGACCAGCTTGCATGGATATTTTATTGCCAAGTCATTTAAATGAAACGCAGCGTTTCATTTAGCTGTTGGTTTGTGTTGAGAGTAGGCCTTGGTTGCTACTCACACCTTCCTCTGATCTGAGCCCATTGGATTGCACGCTGATAATTGCTATTTTCACCTTTTTGGTTATTTCTTTTATTTTCTTTTTCTTTTTATTTCTGTTTAGATTTAATTCATTTAAAAATAATTCCAAATGTGATAAAATCCCACAAAAAATATTTTAGAACACTTTAGTGTGTTAACTAATTGTTGGAAATTTTTATTTCATTTTTGATTTATTTTTCAATTAAAATGAGATTTTATCTATGGAAGTTTTTTTAAATGAGTTTTCACTTGTTCTTTTGGTTTCATGCCTAGTTTCTTGACAATTTTTAACCTCCAAGGAATGAGACTTATTCCTCATGTTGTTGATGAGTTGAAGTGTCTCTGAGGATGATTTTGGTCAAGGTTTAACCATTTTTGTTTTGACTTTTGATGCATTTCATTGACCCTCGATAACCCTCCTTCAAAGTGGAGCACCCAAGTGAATCAATTTCTATAGTGATGCTTTGAAGTGACTTTGGTTGTGTGCTCTTGGCCTCTGGTTTCCAACTCCTTTATATGCTTTTGACATTTTATTTGGGTTTAATTGAGCCATTTTCCTATTTTTTGGAGTAGTTTGCAAGTCAAGTTATCCCTAAGGATGGTTCACACACATACTTGACCTAGTTTTGATGGGAAATGATTCTTATGAATTTCAAATGCTCCCAACTCTTCTTGATTCACCTTCATAACATGTTGAAGTTGTTGAATGCAAACTTTTAGGTCATAAAGTGTCTTCTTGCAAATGTTGTGGACTCTAGCAGGCCTAAAGCTCCAGCGGCGAACCTTCACAAGCTCTCTTTATGCTAGGCTTTATACAAGCTGTTGCATTAGATTTTTTTTTGTTGCAAATATTTCTTGTAAAGAGCCCTCTTTTTTTTATGATGGACTTTGTAATATGAAAAGAAATCTTTTGTGTATATTTTGGACATTGAATGAAACTCAACCCCCTCCCCCTTTTTATAACATGATTATTTTGACTCGAATCACTTCAAGATGTTTTAATGGTGTATATAACTAGGATAAATCTAATTGTTCACATGATTAGCTTGCACGATTAATTTGGTTTGTTCAAGACTAACTTGTATGATCTTGTAGACATAGTTAACTTGAAAAACCCTTTAAAACTTTATCAATCATGTGAATTTGGACTAACTAGTATTGCTTAACCAAGAATGGTGCAACGCTCGAATTCAAATTCCAACACCTAAGATGAACACACTCAAAACCCATCGGCACCATATTTGAAAATTTTCACTAAAACCATCCTTAAGAGAAAAATGTAAATTGGTTCCATGTCAAGCATATTTAAGAGCATTTGGAAAAAATGAATGAACATCTTGCTTGCCATTTTCACCATGAGGAACTAAAAATGTTGATCTTTGAATCTTCTCTGATGGTCATATCTTGAGGTGACAAACGTACGAGTCTCTTTTTGATCACTCCTGAATTGGGTGTTGGACGGAAACCCATCTAAACCAAAGCAATTGCTCGTTCTGAAACAATCAACCTTTCTTGCAAACCTTCAGCACACCCCTATGCTTGATACTCAATACGAACGTGATGATAATGATTAAAATATGGTTTGCAAGGCTAAAGCGAAAATAAGGGTATGACACTATTTTATTTCCAGATTTCAGAATATTATGGGAATATTTGTTTATTCTAGGTGGCTTTAAGATTGAGGAATCGAAGATTCTATTGGAATCTGAAGATTCTGTTTTCTAAGTGTGGAGACATTTTTGGAAACTTTGGATTGAAGAAATTATTCTTGAGGAGAATAAGTTGCAGATTCTGTGTAACAGAATTGCTGCATTTTTAAAGCCCATATCCAGTTTTGTTTATGGTTATAAATAGGATGCATTTAACCTAATCAAAGTGTGAAGAAAAAATACATTTTGTTGCATAGTGTGTTTTAAGGTTTGTGTATTTGTGAGCCTCTCTTGTATTGCATTGATACTAGAGCTGGACTATTTGCATTGAGTTGTAATTTCAGTCACTGTTGTGATTGAAAGGGAATTGAGAAGGGTCTCATACTTAGGAGAGTCTTAGGTAGAAATTAAGCACAAATAATGATTAAGTGATAAGTTGTAAACCAGAGGTTGTTTAGTTTAGAATTAATACTATCTAGTGGATTCATTCTTGACTTGGTAGCCCCCCAGACGTAGGTGTTGCTGTACACCAAACTGGGTTAACAATTATTGTGTGTTCGTTTACTTTCTGCAAGTCTTATTGTGATTCTTCTTGTCATTGTGTTTAGTAGAGATCAAGTGTCTCGACATCTCTTAGGACATCTGAGATCTGCATACCAGAATTTCACTCGCCAAAGTGTTGGACTGTTAAACATATTCATGGAGAGACCTCAAGAATGTCATCTAACTGCAGACAAGAGAGTGCTAAGATATATAAAGGGCGCAATTGACTATGGTGTGTTGATGTCAGTGCATAAGAACAACAACACAAATTCAAAGGTACATGGCTACAGTGACTCAGATTTCAATGGAGATCAAGACCAGAAGAAGAGTACTGCAGACTACCTATTCATGATTAGAAGTGCTCCAATTTCTTGGAGCTCAAGAAAACAAAGCGTTGTAACATTATCCTCATGTGAGGTTGAGTATGTAATTGCATCTTGTGTAGCATGCCAAGCATTATGGATAGAGATGTTACTCGAAGAGCTCAAGATAATGGAACCTAGAAAGATGAAGTTGTTTGTAGATAACAAGTCAACTATCGACCTGGCAAGTCACCCTATGTGTCATGGTAGGAGTAAATGCATAGAAAGGATGTATTCTTATGGATAAAGTAAAAAGGAAAACTTGAACTGGAGCATTGCAAGTCTGAATTGCAACTAGATGACATACTCCCCAAGTCATTGAAAAAATATGGTTTGATGAGTTGAAGAAAAGCATTTGGATAAGAAGTCTAGAAAACATGAATTAGGTGGTGTGTTTGAAGTAGTAATTCATTGTTTAAAAACTAATGCAATGTTCGACTGAGTTGATGTATACTGTATTTGACAGAGTCAAATACAACACGTAGTAGCTGAAGTATACTATATTCGACAAAGTCGAATACAACACGTAGTAGGTAATGTATGAAAATAGTATTCGACCGAGTCAAATATAACAAAGTATGCTAGCAGTTTTCAACAGGGTCAAATATATTATGCTATAGTCAAAAGGAGCTAGTATGTATTCAACTCTGTCAAATACATCTTGTAATAGTCAAATTTTGTTAATGACCTATAAATAGACATGTGATAACGTAGACTCATAAGCATTGTATAACATCTTCCTCTTTTCATAAAGAATCGTTTTTCTCATTACTCTCCTTTATTCTTGAACACTCTTTTGTTCCAACAAATATTTTCTCTAATTACCATTATAAATAAAAGTTTATTTTCAAATTTTTAAATAATTAGCATATTTATTAAATGATTAGTATATTTAATTTAAAGAAGAAGGTGGTAGATTTTCACAAGGATGCAAACAAAATTTAATCAAAGTTGAGAGAAATGTCCATAACTAAAGTCGACATGCCTAAAAGAGTCGGTCAAATTATCTATATTGGAAATATAAAAATTTAAAAAAATATATAAATAACCGAAAATGTTAGTTTCCTCCCGTGTTCATAAAATATTTGTTAGGATATCAAAATCTTCATAAACAAAAAAGAATATGAATATTACAATGACATTTAATTGTTGTTTAATTTGTAGGTCCATATACCAACCAACCAGCTATATTATTTCCTTTCTTGTCTTCACCTCACTGTCGGTTGGACTAAAGATTCCAGAAAATATAGAAAGAGTAACACTATCTTCATTTTTAGAAATTATATCCATCTCACAATTTTATTGTAATATCAAAGTTTTAATATTTTTTTAGAAATATTTATCATGAAATAAAAGTAGAACAATTATGTGGTAAACAAGTTGCAGGCAGGCCACTACTAGTTTTATGTAATTTTTTAAACCAAGATGAATTTGTGGAAGAAACTGTCTTGTTTTTTATGCAACACATAGAACAACCTTAGCTGGCACTGTTTGTAATTTATTATCACAAACAGAGTAACCCACTCATATATTTTAATATTTTTCTAATCATTAATCTTCTACTTACCTTTCTAAATTCCAAATGGCCAAAACCTTAATCATATTCAATGTATTTAATCAAATTCAAGATATCAGGTCAGAATTAGAATTTCGTTTAACTTATTTCTATAAAACTGACTTGTAAAGTGCGATAAATAATTTTATATAGTTTTTCTTTTAAATTCCATCTTTAACTATAACTAATATAAGACTCGTATATTTTTTAATATTTTTTCAAAAAAATTTTAAATTTAATTTTTTTAAATGCGAACAATACGTCAAACTCATATAAAATTTTGTTCTGACTTTAAACAATCTTTCTAAATATACAGTGAGATTGTTTCCGTTGAATTAATTCTTGTAAAATCAAATATCAAATTTTTACAAAAAAGACTGTTTTATTTATTTATTTATTTACCCTAATAGTCCAAAAAATTCTCTCTCCTTTCCCCTCCATTGCCAACTCCATTTTCCTTTATATATAAAGCCTTCTTCATTACATTCCTACTTAATTTCTTAACAACAAAATTAATACATATTCTTACCTTTCAAGCTTATACATAGCAATCACTTTCAAAATCTCTTTTTTCATGGCTTCTTCTTCTTCTTTAACAATATCTCCAAGGAAGCTACACTACGATTTATATTCCTACTCATACAAACAAGATTCAAACACACCATTAGTGATAAATGTTCTAGCTTCATTAATCGAGAGAACCATGGCAAGAACACACAGAATTGTGAAGAATTGTTCAAAGGTTTTGTCCAAAGAAATCACCACAAAAATCTTTGATTGTAGAGAGGTTCCTGATTTGACCATTCAATCTTATTTAGAGAGAATTTTTAGGTACACACGTGCTGGACCTTCGGTTTATGTTGTTGCTTATGTCTATATTGATAGGTTTTGTCAAAATAATGTTGGCTTTAGAATCAATTCAAGAAATGTTCATAGACTTCTCATAACTACTATCATGGTTGCTTCTAAGTATGTTGAAGATATGTAAGTACTCTTCACCCTCATTTTTTTCTTTCTCTATTAGCTCAATTCTTACTATATAAAATTTTCCGAAACTACGTGATGCCAAATCTGATATTAGAATCGGATTAATCGTTTCAGTAAATGCTAAGATTTCGTTTTTTAAAAATGAAAAATGATATGTAGTAGATTTGAATTCAATTTGTTTATATAATGTGATACTAAAGTGTTTTTTTTTTATTTGGCAGGAATTTTAGAAATTCATACTTTGCAAAAGTTGGTGGATTAACAACAAATGAATTGAATGAGTTAGAGCTTGAATTTCTATTCATGATGAATTTCAAATTACATGTTAATGTGAGTGTATTTGAGAGTTATTGTTGTCATTTAGAGAGAGAAGTGAGCATTGGAGGAGGGTACCATATCGAGAAGACCCTAAGATGTGCTGAAGAAATCAAAGAAACGGGTTACACACAAATTGCAAGTGTAATGTTGTAGAATTTTTAGGGTATTTTTTGCTTGAAAAATAAATAAAGGTTGTTTATGTGTATAGATCAATGTAAATTTAAATGTTTGTTGGGGGGATTATGATTTTAGAACTATAGGTAAAGGACAGGTGAGAGTGATGTACAAAGTTGTCTTGTTCCATCAATAGGAAATTGTGAGTTTTGTGATCAAGAGTTTTGAGATTTTGTTTTTTATGTGGAGATTTTTCAATTTTTACTTTTGTTTCTATGTGTGCATATTTCAAAACTAAAATTGCAACATATATCTTCTCATATTTCTTGTTGTTCTTCATTTTCACTAAATTTTATTTTTAGAGGGACTTATCAACTTCACCTAAAATTTTAAAATTTAATGTTTTCAATTCAGATAAAATGTGATGTCTACTTAAACAATGAGACTCAAAGTGCTTGAACACTTGATCGTAGAAAAGGAAAATAAAGTAGCAGATATATCATGACACTTGATTCTAAAAGAAATATATCATTATCTTTTAAATTCAATAAGCTTAATCTATCTTTAAACTGTTTCAATTGTGCTTCAATATTTAGACCTTTTATGCCACTCTAAAAAAATTTCTTATATTGAGTACTTGAGTTTTTATTTAAAAAAGAGACAGCTTATCAATTTCCAATGAACTATTATACTTTATAAATAAAAAATATTGTCACTTAAAATTACACAATTTTATGAATTTTCACTTTGTCTTTATCGACGATTATAATTCAAAAACTATCATACTCTATCAAGAGATAAATATAGATAATCGAAAGTTAAACCATTCCAAAAATTTCTACAGGTCAAAAATAAAGTTGAAAATTTATGATGCAATTTTCATGTTGGCAGAAAACTCTTCAACCACCGACAAATACGCTTTTCATTAATGTCACATTTAAATTTGCCACAGTTAAACTGTGGCTAAATAGGACCTCATAAAATATCGTCACAGTTAAATTGCACTTAAATATGACCTCTATTTATTTTGTCATGGTTAAATTGTAGGTAATTTAGATAAGCTCTTCAAAAACTTGTGACATCTCTGCTGACATTTAAAATGATTTTTGTTTAATTTAAAATGTTTATAACTATTATACACAATTTGTCCATAAAAAGATCAAATAGAGCGCCCACCCCACTATACACTATCTCACTCCGAGTTCGCTTCTTCACAAGGCTAGTACTATGATGACAACTAGAGAATAAATTGTTACACCACATAATCTATCATAAACCACCCCTAATACACACCCACAATCTCCAAAACAAATATTTAACTACATCTCACAATACTCTAATATAAGGTAAGAGAAAAGAAAAAGATCAAATACAAGATTAAAGTGTGTTTAACCAGTGTCTTTTCTAATGAAGAAATTGAATCCATTATATAGCATTGAACTCTTTCTCTTTCCTTACAAAATTAAATGATGTAGGGTTTTTTCAAAATGTATATTTTCAACCAACATCAACAATCTATGGGGGAGATCGTTATGTGCAAATATGAGTAATTAAGTTCCACATCGTCTAAGAATCAGTAGAATGTTGGACTTATAAGAGAGGAGACACATATATCTAAAGCCTTAAGATTTTGGATGATATGTGACATCTCTCTCTCTCTCTCTCTCTCTCTCTCTCTCTCTCTCTCTCTCTCTCTCTCTCTCTCTCTCTCTCTCTCTCTCTCCTAGAGCATTGGGTTTCTGTTGCCGTTCCGCCTCCCCGGACTCCCCAATAAGTGTTATTAAAGTCATGGTTTGGCTTGGTGGGGAGTGAGAGTTAAATTATATGTTGGATTCTATTATTTGATGCGGGAAACTCACACTTATGATGTGATATTTTTGGGGGTGTAAGTGAGACTAGATAAGTCTGACATTGCCTAAGAATGGGTAAACTTTTAGATTTATAAGAGAGGTGACTCATATAAATCTAATGACTTAAAATTTTGAGTAAAAATGTGATGTTACACCATATAATCTGTCCTAAACGACCCCAGTACAGCCACAATCTCCAAGGCAAATATTTAACTACATCTCACAATAATCTAACATAAGGTAAGAGAAAAGAAAAAAAATCAAATACAAGGTTAAAGTGTTTTTTACCAGTGTATTTTGTAATGAAGAAATTGAATATATTGTATAGCATTGAACTTTCTCTTTCCTTACAAAATTAAATGATGTGAGGCTTTTTCAAAATGTATATTTTCAACCAACATCATCAATCTATGGGGGAGATCGTTAGGTGCAAATATGAGTGATTAAGTTCTACATCATCTATGAATCAGTAGAATGTTTGATTTACAAGAGAGGTGACACATTTACCTAAAACCTTAAGGTTTTGGGTGATATGTGACATCTCTCTCTCTCTCTCTCTCTCTCTCTCTCTCTCTCTCTCTCTCTCACAGTCCTAGAGCATCGGGTTTCCGTTGTCACTTCGCCTCATCGGACTCCCCAATAATGTTCAATGAGCCTTTGGTTCGAGGGATGCACTGGTTCACTTGTATCAAAAGTATCTCCACGGATGGTGGTTTGAGTATCCTGTTGAAGAGTGTCAACGATGATACAAGTGTATGTGAATGAAGCTTCCTCTTAAGGAGGAGCATTGTGGAAGCATTGTGTATAAACTCACACTTGAGAGGGAGTGTTAAGTATAACAAGTGTGAGTAGTATGGGTAATAGTCCCACATTGGCTAGAAATGTGAAGACTTGAGCATTTATAAGTGGGAGAATCCATCCACCTATTACCTTAAGATTTTGGATGAATATGTGGTGTGTCTCTCACAAAGGTGTTGCTCTAGAAAAGGAAAGTCTCACAATGTTCAATGCTCTCTATTGAAAAAAACATTCCCAACAGTGTTAAGTATAACAAGTGTGAGTAGTGTTAGAAATAATTTATATTTTACAAAACTTAGTGACTAAGTTTTATTAGAGGGTAATTTAGTACTTTAGTATGTTGTCTTTGTGACCCTAGTTTTTTGTGTATAAATAGACTAGTGGTAGATGTCATTTTATAATTATTCCTTACAATTTTTGTAGCCATCATTTACAGAGTAGAAATATATTCTCTCATTATATTCATCTCTTTTAACCTTGTGCACCAACAACTGGTATCTAGAGCTCTGGTCCGGATCCGCGGGGAAACACGGAAAACATGAGTGAAACGGTGAGGCGTTGTATGGTTGATTTAGTTTCTTGAATTCGTGTTGAATCTTGAACGGAATCGTGGCAGAATCACATTTCCTAATTCTGCAGGATTGGGAAACACTGTATTTGGTGAGATTTGAGTGATTGCACAGGGTTGAAGATGAACGGAAACGGTGGTCTGAAAACCAAGCTTCCAGTATTTAATGGAAAAAACTGGACTCGTCGGATGACTCAGATGCATGTATTGTTCGGTGCTTAAGATGTGCTTGATCTTGTCACTGAAGGTTACGTTTCAGTAGCAGCAAATGCAATGGAGGAACAAAAGAACACGCAGAAAGATACGAGGAAGAAAGATCAGAAAGCATTATGCTACATCCATCAGTGTGTGGATGCAAATCTGTTTGAGAAAATCGCTAATTCAATGACGGCGAAGGCTGTGTGGAATACATTGGTTAGGTGTTATGGTGGTGATGCATCAGTGAAGAAGGTGAAGCTTCGGTCCTTATGAAATTATTTTGAGAATCTCAACATGAAGAACAATAAGAAGGTATCTAAGTACATCTCCAGAGTGATTCTGATCACTAATGAGATGAACGCTTGTGGAGAAACCCTTTCTGAACAAGTAATCATTGAGAATGTATTGAGATCCCTTACCACTCAGTTTGATTACATTGTGGTAGAAATAGAACATTCTAAAGATCTGAGCATCATGAGAATTGAAGAGTTTCAAAATAGTCTAGAGGCACAAGAGTTGCGTCTGAATGAGAGAACTTCTGAAAGAGAAGTAGAGCAGTAGGCTCGGAAAATAGTTTCTAGTAAGAAGCATTAGAAACAAACTTGGTCAGAAGGCAAGAGAAGATCTGATGGCGTTCAGAAGTCAGAAACCTCATCTTCTAATAAGCAGAAGAATGCTCATAAGGGAAAAGACAGGTATGACAAGAAGAAAATTCAGTGCTACTGTTGTAAGAAGTTTGGCCATTTTGCTACTGATTATTGGTCAAAAAAGGAAAGGAAGTCAAAAGAAGAAAATATAGCCAGAAGTTCTGATGATGAATCTGTTTTACTGATGGCTTCTGAATCTGATGATACGAATTTGATAGACTGGTGGTATATGGACACTGACTGCTCAAATCATCTTACTAGAAATAAGAAATGTCTGGTTAACTTTGACTCTAGTAAGAGGACAAGGATCAAATGTGATTATGATAAACACCTAAATGTTGAAGGTATGGGAAATGTCATAGTCGTTCTAAATAATGGGAAAACAACATTGATTCAGAAAGTGTGGTATGTACCTGGCATGAAAAGCAATCTGATGAGTGTGGGGCAACTAATTGAGAAAGGTTTTTCAGTTACAATGAAGAACAATTTTATGAAGTTGTATGACTGTAATCAGAAGCTGATTATGGAGTCAGAACATGGAAGAAATAGAACATTCAAGTTGAATGTAAGAACTGCAGAATCTGAATGTCTTAGTGCAACAAGTGTTGTGAAGGAAAGTGAGTTGTGGCACAGAAGATTTGGTCATCTGAATTTCAAAAGCTTAGGGCATCTGAATTCGAAGAAGCTGGTACATAGAATCCCTACAATTAAGAAGCCTGAGAAGTCATGCAAAGTGTACATGGAAGGAAAGCAACCAAGATTTCCATTTATGTCAGAAGTAGCTCCAAGAGCAAAGCATGCCTTGGGAGTAGTGCATTCTGATGTGTGTGGTCCATTTCCAATAGCATTGATTAGAGGGAATAAATACTTCCCTTGCATTTGTTGATGAATTCACAAGAATGACATGGGTATCCTTTATAAAGTACAAACACGAGGTGTTTGCTGAATTCAAGAAGTTCAGAATGAAGATTGAGAATC